TTAAAGTTCTTACACTCTTAACTAGTTACGCTGCTAAGCACTCTGATTTGACATCGATTGTTTTATAGTAATTATTGTCAAGAAATGCGGAAACGTCGATCATTGATGATCAACGTCGCAGCCAACGTGCTAATGGAAGTGCACTTAGCGATAACAGTACAGCTCGACAACCCTCTTTGTCGGTTCAATGCAACTGGATTGTGTTCGCGCGATGATCGCACGATTTAATTTCATTTTAAACTTGCTATATTCTTTGTTAGCAGTATTGATCAAATTAAAATATAAACAATTACTAATTTCGAACTAATAATACCTTCTCCTATTGTCTTATTTCTCACCACTGAAAAATGTTATTATAGCCATTCCGTCGATCAAAGGATTCTAACATTTTATCGAAATAACCGATACTTAGAAATGTAGTATTAAACTGCGAATTTTTATGCAAATTCAAATGTTTAAGAATATAATTAAAGATATAGTATCACGATAGAAAATGTTACAAACAGAACTCAACTTTCGATATTTTATATATCTTTCCGTATCGAATGCATCCGATGCAATTTCCAACCATCAAATTTCTATAAATAAGTTGCATTTGTGAATATATTAACATTTAGCCAACCGAATTCTTGATTTTGGAGATCTCCAACTTCTCCCTTGGCAACGCATTGCCATTTATTTTGTTTACTATTTTTTGTTCTTTGGTAAGTCTCGAACTAAAGATGTTCGCAATGCATTAAATGCCTTTCTTGCTTTCATGAAACACAATTTTAAATAAAATCACTGGCATAAGTTCAATTAATGTTAATGAAGAGGTTTAGAGTATACTTTTAGACAATTGCTCAGGTGTTAACGATAGTTTACTGCCGTGGCAGCGTTGCGTTGTTAAAAAGTTAATGAACTTCGCCGTCGGCCATTGTTGGGCGCACGAACTCGCGGAACCTGCGTTTGCAGCGGAATTTTTTCAATCCTCCGGGCAACAACCCCCGAAATACACGCCGGTCACGAAATCGATGCATTAATTAGTGGCGGCTAAACCTGTGTGTCCATTAACAAACGATCCCTGCCTATATCGATAGAGTCAAACAGCTACGACGCACAAAAGGCAGTACGGAAATGTACGTATACATACGTTCGTAACCGCACGCAAACACCTCGTTATTTGCCGCATTGTCTTCGGTTTAATTCGCCAGTGGTGGTCCGCCCCGCGCTATTTATTATTCCCCGCGCGTTTAACCTTTTCTACACGGAAATATTGTCCGCGAGTATGATTCCGAATCGTGACGCGGATAAGGTTGCGCTTAGGCTGGCGCGATGATGAATTCGGTGTGTCAAAGTAATCAAATATCCATATCAATTCAATATGACAAAGTAATTAATCAAATATCAATATCGATATAAATTACGTAGGACAAAGTAATCAAATATCCATATAAATTCAATATGACAAAGTAATTAATCAAATATCAATATCAATATAAATTCAATATGACAAAGTAATTAATCAAATATCAATATCAATATAAATTCAATATGACAAAGTAATTAATCAAATATCAATATCAATATAAATTCAATATGACAAAGTAATTAATCAAATATCACTATCAATATAAATGCACTATGACAAAGTAATTAATCGAATATCAAAATCAATATGAATCTAATATGTCAAAGCAATTAAACATCAGTATCAATTCAATATGACGAAGTAATCAAATATCAATATCAATATCAATATCAATATCAATATCAATATCAATATCAATATCAATACTAACTCAATATAACAAAGTAATTAAACACCAGTATCAATTTCTTTGAGTATAAATAAACACGTTAAATGCCATGGTGGTTATCGATTACGATTGTTTGCTTAAAAACAATTACAGTATCTAATGTAAGATTGCAATAATATAGATAATTAGATAATACAGTAACATAAACATTGCGATACCAAATAATTAATATTTTCTTCAATCTATCTCTGTTTCGAAAGAACAAAAGACACATAACGTTGAAATTCTCGTTGGAGTAAGCGCGTTAAATATTAAATATTATTCTTCTATTATCAATCGTTTCCATATAAACTAAAATCTATAAAGAACATGGAACTCTTTTCTTTCTTCAATAAATGATCAACGATAAATTAGTTCTATCGATTGTATTTTAAAAGCAACCATACGGCAAAGAATTAACATGTGAACCAATGTAGATTATCGTTCCTTCGATGAAAATCATCAGCAGCGTACTGCCATCAGAAGACAACGTGTGACTATGGTTATCAGTATCATTGATGGGGTCAATCGCAAGAGAAGACGCTCGTGGGTAACCGATCGAGCGAAACAAAAGGGAGAAACCGAGCGAAAACGCATTATTTCGGGCTTGAGATCGTCCGGGAGACGGCAATCGGCGGCGATAAGCTCGGAAATCCCATGTGTACGTTCAATGCGTGGTCGGCATGTAAATGAAAGGAGCCACCCGCTGTCGCCGACGTCTAGGCGCGACGAAAAATCGTCTGGATCGCGCGACTAGCTCGGAAAAGGCGAAGTAGTCGCGCCAGCATGCTGGAACATGTCGCATTCTTTTGATTCTCGTGATAGACGAGATCAAAGACTGTCTGTCACGTTCCCCATCGTCGGAAGAGGAATCTTCTGCTGTGATTGTCGTATTCCATTTCCAAAATTACCTATGGCCTTCTCTAGCGGAGAAGAGAGAATTTCGAAAGTCTCCGGAGTCTTCGCTTTTTCGGTTATATTCTTGAACAGTGCAGCTGCTGCACGGTAAATCGTGAGAAATGAATTTTCTCATGGGAAATAATAGTCGTACGAGTTGCTTAGAATTTTCATTGGCACCAGAAATGACGATCACTGATCGAAATGATTTACTTTTAACTTATGTTTACCCTGTTTTTGTAACACGTGGTATAGATCCTTCATTAACGCTGGAGATACTGATAAACAATTAGCCCATTGACCTACAATACCATGTCGCACTTCTAACGAAAATGTTAAACTGTATTTAAAAAATCTAAGTGTTCATGTTTTTCAAATATAAATTAGATATTACTTTTCTATTATCAATCGTTAGCATTTCAAGTAAACGTAAGCATAGAGTAAGTATCGACAGTTTTCCTTTTCCTAATAAACTATTTAACAAAATCACGCTAAAATCAAAACTAATCTACATTTCGGTAACATTTCACAGACATACCAAAATACGGGTTGCTCTATGCACGACCGAAGTGCAATTGTCTTCTTAATCAAGATACCGAGCCACGTAATCTATCCTCTTATCTTGCGCCTGACCCGCCGTTACGCTGTGGGTCGGCCAATTTCCGTCTACTCGAGTAACCTCGTGAATTAACAGCTCTAATTAACAGCGAGGCGTTAAGCTGATATCTACGGAATGTACGTGGTGTTGCAAGGGTCGTGAAGGGTGAACTGGATTTTTGGAAAGTCGAGAATACCTCCGGTACGGCTGGAATTAATCTCCGCCATCGAAGACGGATCGACAAATAAAGCTCGGTAAACAGGGAAGTTCCGCGCGAAAATCGTTGAAACGATGCGGAAAGGGGTCGAAACGGAGGACCGTCTAATTCTCTACTGTCTCGTTTACTCGACTGAATGCTACGTTTCATTTCCCGCCTTGATGGGAATGAATTCTTTTCTCTACAAATGTACAACGCTGCTCAAACGCAACTAATTGCATCGTCTTGCGCGACTAGTTCGCTGTTAACCGATGAATAATAAATCTTAGTTCCGAACACTTCGATCTCATGGCTTCAATCGTTTCGATCCGGGTTTCTCTTTCGTAAAAGTGAAATACGCAAGAAACTGTGACAAAAAAGAAGCGACAATCACCGAACCGAGTTTCGTTAAAGATAACGCTTTGTAAATAACTAATTGCATAACTTATTCACCGTTAATCGGCGAGCAATGGACGTTGTTTGCGAACGCTTTAACTGTATAGTTTCAATCGTTTCGATCGAAGTTTCTCCTTTAAATAATCGAAATGTCTAAATCAGGAATTCTCGTAAAGAGAAAGTAACAATAGTTGAACGAATCTCGGTTAAAAGGGAACCCTTTTAAAATGCTAAAAATTGCCTTTATCTCGTTTGATCTATTCGTTATATGTGTTCGTTTCTCAGGCATTTTCTTTGCCAATTTAGAATTCCTGCAGTTATCTAACAACCATAATTCACAGTCGCATTCGCAGTTTCTACTTAAGTCGCGGATTATCGCCGTGTTCACCCCGGGCCCCGGTTGAAATTCGAGGGAGACTTTTTTCGCGAATCCGTTTCGTTGGTAGGTAGATTGGCGCCGATCACGCGATGCGACCGGCGGAATAGCCGGGCGTCACGGGATGCCCGCCTGTCCCGGAAGCACGCCGGTTCCTCTTCAAACTTTTACCGGATAATGGCCTTAATCAACGAGCAGCTGAAGCCCCGTAGTAGAAGTTGTCGGATGTTAATTACGGACACGTTTCCTGCTACCCTTCCAATCGCGTGATACACTGACAGTGCAGGGTGGCAACGATAGCAGAAGCTTGTTATTATCGCATCAAAAGAAGCTTCTAACATTTAATTAATGCGTTTTATAGCATATTTCAAAGAATATTCCGTAAACTTTAAAAGTCTTAAGATATTAGGTTCTTTTAACAGTCTTCATCTGCATTTTTCGAGAGCAAGGTGTTGGAGAACCATTTTTATTATTGTATCGAACGGATTAGTCTTTCGATCTATTATTTAATCTTCAATCAGTACGTTTCACAGTATAATGATCAAATAATGAAAGTATATTCTGGAGTAAACGTGCAACGAAATGGTTTAGGGTATCAAGATCACTAAAAACTGTTCACCTATAGCTTTAGGGTATTAGAATTGAGCTGTTCAGTTTCAAACGTGGATAACCCCATGGAATAAAAACGTACGAAACAAATTGTGAAATTATATAGGTACATAAGGAACCAGTTTAAGAATTAGGATCATTAAGATTCACCTGCAGCTTCAGTTTCCTGCGCCATGCGAGCATCTGATACGCCTGTGCCCTCTGCCTCGCTCGGAGCGTCGCAATCACCGATTTCGCTTCCTCCAGGGACGTAACTTCCGTCTCGACGGCATCCTTCAACGGTTCGTTCGGTCTTCCGTCGGTGACGGCCAACGGGCAGCTGTCCATCGACGTTTCGTCGAAGCTGCGAACAGAAATACCGGCGCATCTTTTAGTTTCGTCACGTTTCCCTGGGATAATCGTTATTCGCGAGGTGAACGCGTTCCAGGGACACGATGCAGAGTGCACCGGGGGTCGAAACGGTGCAACGTCGATTACTCCGAGTAACATGGACAGACAGCCGATCGATATCGCGAGCTCGATCGATTCGCTGGCCACCGGTTGCGAGAATGACGCGTTCAGGTTGCTATCCGCAACGCCGTTGCCGAGAAACGTTTGTGTAATATATAAAGTTTGGTTTGTGAAATTTATTAAAAAAGCCGAAATTCGGCTTTGCTTGTGTATTAAGTCGGTGATTAGAGGTTTTGAAACTGTAAACATTTGTAAGTTTGACAGTTCGAAATTAAACATTTTCGAGATTTGAAAAAGATTTCAAACTATTGAATTTCCAAGTTTTCCAAATCCTAATGCTTCAAATATTTGAAATATTCAAATTTTTCCATTGAAAGTTTCTTTCTCCAGAAACTTGAGCTCGAAAGTTCATCGAACGCGTTTACCGCCGTAATGGCGATCGGCAAACGCGTCTGATCATGGCTCGCCGTTTCCACTGCTAACAGGCACAATCCAAGCTCCGAACGCAAAAATCTCATGGTTCTCATTATATCCAAACCGACGCGATCGTTAATCGCGACATTTCTCATGGCATCGTCGTAAAAGCACCCAAAACCTGGCTTCAGGGAACCGAAGTTATAATCCGATTCTAGCGACATTCTCCCTCGCCCAATAAAATGTACCCTTCACCAAACCAAAGCCAATAAAGTCGCTGGGAAGCCGCGAACAGTCAATTCGCAGATAATATATCCCTCTTGAGGCAGATGTTGCCACTGATGCAGGACGGAGGGCGCAAAAGCCGGCTATCCCTCGATAAATCTTATCTAATCTAGTCCGGAAAGGGGCGGGCGTTACTCGGAGTGCGTTGCCCGACGTTTCGCCGCGGCAAGAGGAAAATGACCATCAGAACGCAAACGCGAGAGGGCAGAAAAGGGAGAAAGGGAAGCAGCAAACGCGGTTCCACTGGTAGGATTTCCGACCGCAGCGCATTGGAAGACGGGTTCCCGATGCAAAGACTTCCCGTGAAGGGATAAAGGAGACGGTGGTTCGAAAGCGAACGAGTCGAGAAAGCAATGGCTCTCCGTTTTATCCGGCGCGGCGATCCGAGCACGTCCGGCGACGAGGAGCGCGAGCGAAACTCAATAAGAACCACGAGGATCCGCGCACGCTTTCGTTCTCGATAAACAGGAAACGCCTGTAACGGCCCCTATAATTCATGTTGCTTAGGAGAAGAACCTTTCCCCAAGCACAGGAGCAACTGAAGATTCTCGCTACGTATTTATACTTTCCACTGGTTACGCGTAATCGTACCGACAAATGGTAAATTAGTATTAAACATAAAATAAGGAAAGATTCCTATCGAATTCACATTGAGAATCAGTATGTTTTGTTTACGGTTTCGATAGGTTACATGTAATTAGTAAACAATGAATTAATATCGAAAATCAAACGAGAAAAGATGAAAACGCGCCAATTGCATCTATATTATTTCTACAGGTCTTCTCCTGTGCAACGAAGAGTACATTGATACATGCGATGCAGCAATGATGGATTTTAGCCTTTTGCATTTTTTTGATCGAGTGTAACGTGTACTGCGAAACCTTAGAAGACTTAAACCCATCATTTGTAGCATCTCTACATGCTTCAACTATATGCGGGCCTTAAGGCCTGATACACACTATCAATCAGATCTGTACCCGCTCTCGATTCGTTCAAATATTCTTCGCCTATCGACAATGCCCACGTTCACATTATGAATAATATTTCTATCCGCCTTTATCTTCATTTATCGACGACAACAGGCAGAAAAAATTTTGACCGATAGCGTGTATCGAATCTAAGGCGGCAATAGCGGTAGCAGGGAAAGAAGCAGGAGCAAATGTCGAATGTGTCACGGAGATGAGTTAGGTCACTGGAATCGCGAAACTTCCGTGGCTCCCGTGAACCGCATCGGCTTCCGCTGATCCGCGTCTTCCAGTCGCCCCGTACATTCCTCGCGGCCGCGAGACTTTACTTTTCCACTGGCCGGCCTGTTTCGCCTTTTACCGACTTTTTATAGTCCTCAGTTGCGGACCTGCGTGATTTACGCGGGTCCGCGCGAGAGTGGCATTGCCAGACGAGAGGGATTGGGATCGAAGCGGTGGGTCACGATTTATTGACCTCTTGCGCCGAGATTTCTTCTGCGCTCACCAGCGTCGATTTATCGTTACCGTTTCAGTAAGAGAATCTGGAGGACCTTCTGTCCTTCCTGCGTTTACTTTTACTTAGAAGATTAACCACTGGTAATAGAAGAATAACATTTAATTCAAGGTAAAACGAATATAACGAACACAATGAGATTTTACTGTGCAGATTTTTGAGAGTATAATTCGAATTAGAATAAAAAACGGTTTTATTAATAAACACTACATAAAACACTACACGTTGAATATCTTACACAGTTTTCCTCTATAACAGTTAATTTTAAAAACTTGGTTTTCAGATATCTAGATACTGAGATACATAATCAACTGTAACATAAAACATTGTTCTCCATCGTGCTCCTTTTGCGATATCATCAGCCTACCGTCAGCCATAAATCGACTCTCCATGTCACGCTTAAAATTTCAGTTACCCCAGCTTATTCCACGGTGACATAAAGAACGGATCTTTCCCCTATTAGCTTTAAATAAATCAAACAAAATTAAATTACATTCTGTACATTCAAGTTTCTCGCGAATGCACAAAAATCCACAGTCCATTGACATTTACATTCGCCGACTCCCGTTCAGAATTTATGCTGCGAGCCCGACGCGATGTTGTAAGATAAGGGGTTAATGAGGGAGCCTAACCCCCAGAACGCTCTGCGAGAGCGTTCTTGCGCGCTTCCGTATATAGCGCGCTCCACCCCCGATATTTCGCCGCGACATTAATTGGCCCGCTGCAGGAACCGGGCCGCCCGCGTGTTTTATCGCTAGGAACGCGCGATCCGTCGCGTCGGCGCGCGACTTAATATTCCCCGGCGGAATATTTAAATGAACCGTATCAAACGTTCGGCCGGCACGCGTGCAGTTTATACGCCTATTTATATTCGAGATTTACGTGCGCCTGGATCTCGGCCTGCGACCGGTCGATAGAGGACTCGCGTGAAATTCCGGTCAACCGGCGCGGCAGGGACGGATAACATTTCATTTACAATTTCAGCCGGCGATTTTGCATAACCCTCGCCCCGAGGAGCGGTATTTATGGAAACCGCTGCTTTTTCTTGCAGCTTTGAAACACCGCCCCACGGCGTCCGCTAATTAAGTCGGAATAAATAATGCATGAGTCAACTGGAGTGAGTCACCAGCGTTTCGTTTGATGTCTCCTTTTCCGACGGGTCGCCGATCGATTCGAGAGAGCACCCACCGCTCGCGTGGCTTTCGCACCGCGGACCGTGTGTCGAGTTGTCGCCCCGTTGCGGTAAGAAACGGTCGTACAACTTTGATCGATCTTGTTTTGTAGGTTATCAGAGTCTGAGGAGGGTGTATGGAGTGTTTCTGATTTGGTGCGAGCGGAAGTTGGGTAATCGAACGCGAAGCTGAGGAATAGAGATTTCTCTAAGGTGCATTCTTTGGACGTTTGTAATGCTTTAATTCTTAAACTTTTAATGTTTTTAAATATTCAAATTTAAAAATTCTCAAGTTTACAAATTCTCGAGTCCGTAGACGCTCGAGTCCAAATGTTAAAACTTTCAAATCTTCAGATAAGTTTACTAGATTAAAATCGATATTCGATTGTCACTGTTGAATGTCGGAACATTCGTTCCATTCTATATTACCGTACAGTACAACAGACACAACGAGATATTCCACTATTCCATCGAAGAATGCAGATAGAAAATCGCACATATGTTTCTCTTCTCCATTCTTTCTTATTCTTCCATGCTTGGATTTTCAGTTGCATCCTGGTCCGGTCACCTTATTTGTACCACCAAATCGGAAACACTTTGCATACAGGACGAAACGGGTGTTCGAACGTTCCTCTGGGAGGTACAAACAAGTTCAGTTCCCATATTTACGTGGCCGTGGTCCCAGAGAAATATGTATATATATTGGATCGAGCACTAGCAGCTGCTTGCTCGCCACTCGACTTATCGAGTACAGTCGCGGCAAACGATACGATGGAGTACTTCAAACGCGCTCGAGCACGGTGAAACTCGAGACGATCAACGCTGCTACCCCTAACTATCGCCCACCTTTCGGCGAAAGCATAATTTTCACGCCTTTCAATCTGCGATCCCGTGGCACTGGCCGGAAAACTTTTCGATTGTTCTCCACGAGCGTGTGTTGGAAGTTTGGCTAATTAGTAAATGGTGAACTTTTCTCCGAGGGTTTTCGCGTTGAAAGTATACTTTGGAGTGGCGTTTTCGTTATAATGTTCCTATGGATAGGAATGCTTAGCTGTTTCTCGCAGTGCGTTAGTAGAATTAATAGAATTAGTAGTATTAGTATTATTAGTGGTATCAGTAGTTTTAGTAATATTAATAGTATTAGTAGCACTAGTGACAGTAATACTAGTACAATGAAACCTCGATGTGCTGAACTAATGGAGACTAAGATAGTTCTAGTAATCAAATATAAGCGTCTCAAAAAGACAAATAAAAATGAAGAGTGATGCATTAGTAGATAATCGATAGTTTGGATAACCAAGAATCGGATAATCAAAGTTCTACTACAGTATTAGTAGTAGTAACAATACAGAACTTCAATTACGACTAGTGACCGAAACCGAGTCAGGTAAAATAATTCTTGATCTCGTAAAAAACGAACGTAAAACTACAAGAACTGATTAGAAAATCCGTCGCATTAATCCAATACTTCGCCAACCGTTTAATATAAATTACGCCACGACTCGACGTCGATGCACGATTTATATGCGCTACGTCGCGCACGA